AGAGCTGAAGAAGTTTCTTGGATGAGAAGCGAAACATCTTCAAAGAAAAACCAGAAAGCCCAGTTGCCTCTTGAAAAAGCACTTTTTGGACACCTCATTAGAGAAGGCCTTGAATATGGTCATTGACAACAAGCTGAATGTGAACCTTCTGTGTGAGCCAACCGCTTTAAGAATTGGGCCAGTTCTGGATGGCATTAGGAACAGCACTGTGTCAAAGACACGTGAGGTCATTGTTCCCTTCTATTCTGCAGTGGTGAGACAGGAATACTGTGTACGATCCTACATACATTTCCAGAATGATATTCACAGGTTCAGGAAGGATGGAGAATGAAGACAAAGATGATACAGGGAGGAGGACATGCTCTACAAGGACAAACTGGAAAAAGGTTAAGATGTTGCATTGATATCTTAATGAAGAGACATGAAATTTAGGAATTATTTTCCACTGCAACAAAAACTAGGACCAGAAATAATTTCAGCTACCTAGATATTTGGGGGGGGGGGAGGGACACCCATTCTTACAGTTAATATCAGAAGGACAGTCTAGTCATGAAAGTTTTTCATATCGTGATGTTTTTAAGCAGGGGCAGAATAGGCACCTCTTGAGGACAGTTTATTTGGCTTTATTCCACATTGCCGATTGGATTTAAGGATTTTTGTAGTGCCTTCCAATCACAACACAATGATTCTTCACTAGGTATGGAAAAATTAGAGAGGTTTTGTTGTTTACCTTAGGTACACGCATTTCCTTTTTTGTTATCCAAGAAACAAATTAAATAAAATTCTGATTCCCCCTCACCCGCCGCTTTTCAATCAGCAGGAGAGAAAATACTGAGGAAAGATTGTAGCATCAAGTTTCTATCCTAATTGCCTACAAACTGTGGTACACTCCTGATAAATCTTGCAGTCAATAAACTACAGATAATTCAAAAAGCTACAATAGACTCAACCCCTCCTACAGCTGCATTATTATCCCAGCTTTTATTTAGACCTAAAAGCAGCAATTTCGGAGCTCTTGTCGGAAATTCTGCAGAGATGTAAAGCTATCTCCCCAAAACATAAAAATCCCCATAGAAAACGGCAAAGTTACATTCTTTTTCTCAAAACAAATATACAAGATGAGTCCAATATATATCCAATTTACACATCTCCATGAGTGTAAAATAATTAAACAGAATCATATACAGGTAGACTTCAAGTTACAATAGTTCATTTAGTGACCGTTCAAAGTTACAACTGCAATGAAAAATGTGACTTATGACTGTTTTTCACAGTTACAACCTTTATATCATCCCCCTGCTTATGTGATCAAAATTCAGATGCTTGGTAACTGAGTCATATTTATGATGGTTTCTGTGTCATGTGATTACCTTTTGTGACCTTCTGAGAAGCAAAGTCAATGGGGGAACCATATTCACTTAACAACTGGGTTACTAATTTATCAACTGTAATAATTCACTTAACTGTGATAAATTGCAATAACTTAATAGCAACAAAAAGGTTGTAGAATAAAAGAAGAATAGAATAGAATAGAATAGAATAGAATAGAATAGAATAGAATAGAATAGAATAGCAGAGTCGGAAGGAACTTTGGAGGTCTTTCTAGACCAACCTCCTGCCTAGACAGAAACCCTATACTATTTCAGACAAATGGTTATCCAACATCTTCTTAAAAACTTCCAGTGTTGGAGTAGTGTTGTAAATGAGGCAAAACTCACTTAACAAATATCTTAACAACAGAAATGTTGGGCTCAATTGTGGTCGCAAGTCCAAACATTCATTACATCAGTTTAAGTTAATTCTTTATCCAGTTAAACTAGATGGGAACATATAACTATAGTTAGCTGATCTTGAAAGCTAAACAGAAAGAGACCTGTTTCCTGCTTAAATGGGATACATCAAATTCCAGAATTGTTAACGGAATGGGAAATAAAAATTAAATTAAATTGTGGAACAAGGCACTAAGAAATCATTTGTATTGTTACCAAAAGAACTTTCTGTATGAATAAAGTTATAACCTTTATTCTTGGCTTGCAAATAATGCATTTTACAGACGATAACATTAGCCTAAACATAGGTATTAGAACAATAAAAAATAAATAAATGCCGCCACTCCTTTCTTTGACCAGAAGACTAGAGTATCAACTTTCTATCTCTCAGATAGTGCTTAGCTTCCTTTGGCAAAGCCACTTAAACCAGGAATCACTATTTAAGTTTGCTTGCTTACACGTTGTCTTCCTCACAAACATGTAGTTATTTCTATTTTTCATCACTGATACAATATTCAAACAACAGTATCAAAAACTATTGAATAGAAATGCAACTCACATGCTTTGAGGGTTTCTGAGCTCTACCTCAACTGAATAAAAATAAAGTCTGTCATCTTCCTGATGAGAGCAATTAAATCGCTTTCTTACGGACAGCCACAAACTTACAGAAACAATTGATAAAACTGCTTTTGGAGCTTGGTCCCCAAACAGAAGCCTTGCCTCTACTTTTCCTCTATCCCTCTTTTCTCAATCTTCTTGGCAGAATTTGCTGCTCTTACTCAAGCTTCTATTTCAATAAACAATGGTTCAGGAAACTTGCTACAAAAAGGTTTATATTGTATTTTTTTTTTTTTTTGCTTCCTGTCCAATTCTGAATCTCATGGTCTTTTGAGGCTTTCTGCTGAGCCTGTATCTTATTCCACAATTACCTGCGCAGCAGACGTTTTAGTGAAAGAGAAGCAGAAACAGATTTTATTGCCATTTTGGTGTCCCCTGTAGCAAATCAATGTAAAGTAGCCATTAATACAATATCCTTTTTCACTAATTATGTGAAAAGACCTCCACCAGCTTTTATGTACGTAGAAGTCCTTGTGAACTAGCCAACTTAAGGAGTTAAGTTGTTTTTTTAAAAAAAAAAAAAAACCTTCAGGTTAATAGGATTTTTCAGTGCCCTCTGCTGTTACCAGTCGCTCAGCTTTCAATTTACTCTATAATACTGTCAGGTTGAAGCTTTGGCTGGCAGCTTCCCAGCCTCTTTCTCATGTGGATTGGAGCAGCAGTCTGCAAATATGTGGAAGTTTAATGCAATCTGTCTTCTTTGGTAATCACATTCCTTCTGCGCTATGTGCTATAAAGATGTATTGGTAAATGTATCTGCTAAAAATATACTTTCCCCCTGCTTCTGCCCACCCCATACAAGCCTGATTTACAAGATGCAGGAGGAAAGACTTGCATCTACAGAAGTCTGGCAAGGGACAAGGCAAGTTCCGTAGAGAGCTGCTTAGAGAAAACAACTGTGCCGTGGCGATTCAGGACTTGCCATATTTTAATGCAAGATTGGGGGAATTGGGAGGAGGGGGGGAAATCACACATTTTGCAAGCTGGAGATCTCAAAAGGTACGGGAGAAAAGCCTTTCCCCTAGTAGCTTTAACCTTGCTGATTTGCAGATATATAAAGATACTCCTGGTAAACAGGAAAAGAAAAACCCACCAGGGCTTGCAACAACATTTGAGCTAATATATTTTGACAATTTTCCCATCTCCTTCTGACAAAGCTTCTTGTGGGACCTGTCTGGCAGTTTGTTTCATGTTATACTTAAATCAGACATGGGCTTCTTCTTTACCATATTAATAGAAATGAAAAGAGCTCTCTTCTCGTACCCTCCCCACCCCTTTCGCATGAAAACCCATCCCCAATGAAATCACCTCAGCCGCGAAGCCTTGCCTGGAAGCACATGTCCCTCATTTGTAAATCGGAAGCCCCCTGATCCATGACAGACGCAGAGGAAATGCTTGGTCAACCGAGTATCTCCTACTAAATGCAATGATGCTTCTTTTGCACACAGGAAATTTCGCAGAATGTTTGAAATCCTTCATAAATCCTGGATTACTGTAGTGTTTATAAGGAGATATATTCTATGATCCCAGCCTGTGCATTAAAAAGTATTCGGAATAGGGTCAATTTCAGGCTAATCCATTACAGGTTACCAAATTGATTTTGGAGAAAATGAGCGGAGATTGCCTTAGCTACGACATGGCCCAAAATACTAGACTCTATAGGGTCGTGGGCTCTCCTGATATAAGAGGCATATATTTTGTAACACATACATTTTGATCTGCATGTCCTTGTTGTGAAAATGCAAATCAGAAGGCTTATTCTGTGATTCATTGATATAAGCAGTGTAAAGACATTCATATTGTTATCCATATAGTGCGAAATGCATGCCTTTTCAATTTTAGAAAAAGAAATATCTGACATGATCTATAAAGTATATGGTTTGCAAGATACTTGTAAAGTTCTTGAACAGCAGGAACATTCTAAAATTCCATTCTCATGGAAGTAATTGGTCCCTTCATTCTTTAAGTTAACCCGTTTGAGATACCTTGGTTGAAAATGTTTTGCCGACGATGTACCATTGCATTCAGTTAAAAGTTACCAACCTGACAGTTTTAGTAGCATCCATGATGGCGAGCCTATAGTACTCCTGCCAGAGGTGGCACGCAGAGGTATGCACGCCATCACCAGCTGCTCTTCTGGTTTCTGGTGCATGCATTCACGCAGGCCAGCTGAAGACCAGGTGGCTGGTGTGCATGTGTTAAAGCAGAAGTTATAAAATGAAAATTTAGAACAGATTTCAAATTGTGATCCAAATTCAAGATTGAATATAAGCCTTACTAATGAGTTTGGTAAGGCAAATGCCTTACCTTCCCCAACCTTTTCCCCTCCAAATGTGCTGAACTTCAATATTCCGCTAGAATAGGTTGACAAGGTAAGAATTCTAAAGATTGCATGTGCTGTCTGGATGATTAATAAAATAAGCTTGCTATTATTAGTTTTTGTTCCCTTCATACATGCTGGTTTTCACTGTATGTGAACTTACTCCATCAGTGCCTGGAGGAGCAAAAGAATCTGGAGGGAGACAAAGTCTTCTGAATGGCATGTTCCTTTACAAGACAGAGCAGTAGTCAGGAAATGTCCTTGATGTAAAGCAGAAATAAAATTATAGGTACCTTTTGTGCTAGCCTAACACAACGCTGATATTCCTTGACTAGCTCTGAGCAGTTTAGGACTTGCTGCTTATTTTCATTGTAGCATTCCATGATGGCTTCCTGCAGGTTTGCACATATAGGTTGTGTATTCCTCTTCCTGTAAAGACAAAGGGAAATTAAAACAGCATTTTCTTATTGATAGGCTTCTCATTTGTTTCATCGCTGCTACCCAGTAAGGCCCTATAACGCTTTTGAATTGTATGGAAAAGGTGTTTCTTAGCACATTTATTTAGCATTTGTGAGCAACTCTCTAAAGCAACTGCATATTTCCCCAGGGCTGTATGGATGTCCTTCACAGCTATACCAACTATTACAGAAACTATAATTATTTAATTGTAAAACTTTCCATCAGATCATACAGTACATGTGTGCTCCAAAGCACTTTTTTTCTTTGACCCACAGTAATGTGCAACCCGGTTGCACAGAATCTGGTGCTGATAATGACAGATGTATTGGTTCAAGTCCACTAATCCCATCCTCCTTTTTTTGAATCCATAAGAAATCATTCAGCTAAGCCACAGCTGGTAGTTGTTCTTGGTTTCAGATTTGAAGGGATTGTGAGACAAGCAGAAGGATACAAACCAAAAGCCTTCTTTATTTGGGAGCCAAATAAAAATTGAACAGTTTTCTAACCTCTTCCAAAAAAAAAAAAAACTTTATTGGAAGACATGTTAAAAGGAAGCTTTTATCATCCAGTCATCACAGCTCATTAATGGAATTTTATTAGAATTTTATTCATTTTATTATTAATTCTATTTGCAACTTTTTCATATGAATCTTTTCATTGCCTTCTTTACACACACATGCACCTATTAAAGAGAAAGCAACGGAATAGCAATACAATGCTTTTTCAGTGGTTGTAAAGACAGTTCTTATTTTATAAGTACCATGGGAGTCTGGAATTTTAGTTGTAAGTCATTGTGATTGTAAGTCGAGGCATCTCATGCCAGGACTCAATTTTATGACTGTTTATATGATGGCCATAGAGTGATTCACTGTTGTCGTGAAGTGAATCATGTCATTGTTAAGCAAACCACATGGTCATTAAGCAAATCCAAGATATCCAGTGGGAGGGTTTTTTTTGCCATTTTCTGGTAGAAAACATTTTTAAAAATCAAAAATTTTGATCACATGACTGTGGAGTGCATTAAAATGCAATCAGGTGACCATAGGGAGAGCGGCAATCGTAACTTTGAGAACGAGCCATAAGTAGCTTTTTAAAAGTCTGTTGTAATTTCAAACAGCCATTATACATAGAACACAGAATAACATGGTTCGATGGGACCTTGGAGGTCTTCTAGTCCAAACCTCTATTATTTCAGACAAATGTCCAATTTCTTCTTGAAAACTTCCAGTCATGGAGCACCTACAATTTCTGGCAGCAAGCAATTCCAGTGATTAATTTTCTCACTGCCAGAAAATTTCTCCTTAGTTTTAATTGGATCTCTCTTTAGTGATTCCACCTATTACTTCTTGTCCTGCCCTCAGATTCTTTGGAGAATTGGTTAAACTCCTTCTCTCTGACAGCCTCTCAAATACTGAAAGACTGCTATCATGTTATCCCTAGTCCTCATCTTTGTTAGACTAGTAGACATACCTACAATAGTTCCCATAACCATTCATTATATGGTTTAGTCTCCAAATCCTTTATTGCTTTTCTCTGTACTAGGAACTAGGATCTCAGCATTTTTTTTTTGTACTGTGATGATCAGAACTAGGCACAGTTTTCCAACTATGGTCTCACTAGTACAGTATAAAGTGACTCTATCACTTCTCGTGATCTTGATCCTCTGTTGATGCAGCCTAGAACTGCATCACTTTTTTGGCAACTGCAGCAAGCTGCAAGTTCATTCTTAATGGTAGTCCAGTAGGACACCTAGATCCAGGGTGGGATTCTACTGGTTCGGGCGAACCAGTAGCTCCGAAGATCAGCTGTGGGAGGGTTTTTTTGCTTCCACTAGCAAGTGGGCCTGCCTGCCAGCCCCTGAACTTTACCTACTTTTATCTTCTCAGCTGAGTCACGTGGCAGAGTGGACTGCCATGCCTCAGCTGTTTTCCTTCCCAAGCAGTAATCCGGAAGGTAAGTCTTCTCTCAACTACGCACGTATGCACGCGAAGCACGTTTTCAGCGAACCGGTTGCTAAACCAGTAGGATTCTACCCCTGCCTACATCCTTCTCACATAAACATAATAAGTTGAAGAATACCATTAATGAGTCTTCCAGCAAAATAACTTCTAGGATATTTTTTTTAATTTTCAGTGCTAATCCACACCAGAGAATGAAGAACAAAAAAAACAAAAAACCACTGGCATTAATCAGTGACAGCCTTACTACAATATACAGTCCAGAAATCAATATTAATAACAATACAATTATAACAAACTTCTCCATACTTCTCACAAATTCACATTCATTGGAAAATCCTAGATATAAATTACAAAAACTTAGTGGAGCTCAGTATTTCAGGGACATAACATTCCATGAAATACTTCCCAAAATTTTAGAAGAGGGAAAAACCCAATAGAAGGCTTCAGAAACTCATAAATTTGGCATTTTGTTCTGTCACTGCAATTTTAATGTCTTTGTAATCATAAGAATGAGCACCTTGGAAACAAAAACTAAGGCAGGAAATACCATAATATCCTTCAATTCATTGGCAAGTTAAGACTCTTAAAATTAGGTTTTAACTCTGAAAGTTGATTTTAAAAACCTGTGAGAATATATTACAATTTCAAGAGAGACAAAATGTGTTATATTTTGTATTGAGGTCATTGGTATTTCTCCTATTCTGTAACTATCTTGACTGCATGGTAATCTTTTTTTTTTAAAGATGCAAGGTGCAAGTTTTTATTCCTTGCTTGAGTTTCATATACACTTTAGCCAAATGGAGAAAAAAAATGTTTTCCATCTTTCCTTGTAGAGCTTCTTTACGCAAAGTATCAGTAAAAATAATTTGTGTTCTGCTGGATTCTAATCTAGTATTTAGAAGGTCAGATGACTATAGTAGTCAGAATCAACTTTATCTGATTAGGCATTTTTGAAATTTTGTGGAAAATAAAGATTCTGCTTTTTATATCAATGTCTTTAAGTCTTACAGTATGCTGTAGAGGCATATACGATTGGAAAGTTATACATTTATCATGTATAACTACAATATATTACAGGATTGTGGTAAGAATAGTGAGTGTTTGAGTTTGCCTATGTAAGTGTGCAGAATTATCTTGAGCTATTTCAAAAAAAAAATAGCTACATAAGCAAAGACCCTTCCTTCTATTTCCTCCCTCCTTGTAACTGTTTCCTCCTTTCAGTGAGTTTTGATTTTTTTTCATCAAAATTAATATCATAACACCATGCACAAAAAGTATGAGTGGGGGTCACCTACGTTTCAGCTTTTGCCACTTTTCAAATTGCTTGTTATTCCAGGACTTCAGTCCTTAGCTTCATAACTGCTGTCCTCGTCTTCAACTTTTCCTTCACCTGCTAAATCAGTGGGTCTCAATCTTCCTAATGCCACGACCCTTTAATACAGTTCCTCATGTTGTGGTGACCCCCAACCATAAAATTATTTTATGTTTTCCGTATTTTTTAGAAAATACATGTTTTCTGATGGTCTTAGGCGATCCCCGTAAAAGAGTCGTTCAACCCCCAAAGGGGTCCTGACCCACAGGTTGAGAACCGCTGGGCTAAATCATTATCACTATATCTTGGCATAAAAAGAAGAAGAATGAACCAGGATGGTATATTGGACAAAACAGTCTGGAACCTGGGCTCAAAGACTCTCTCAGAAATATATGGCAATGAATCAGTTTATATCCCGTTCTCTCATAGGGTTTTTGTAAGATAACCATACATGACACATGAATTTCTTTGGCAAAGACATTGGAAGCAAAGAGTGGAAAGTATAAAGCGTGCTTCCAGTGGAGGCATTAGTTTTGCAATCACTCTGTCTCATTTGTGGGAAATGGTAGGTAATCCTGATGATGTCTTCTCCCATTTGCAATCCTTCTTTGTTTTCCCATGGCTACATCCTTTTCTTTCAACAGAAAATCCATTAAGAGAAAAAGTTGGAACTGTTGTACAAGAGTTTTCCAGTTGAAAGCACCCTAGGAAAACGTTTTTATTTACTGTATTTGTTTATTATTTATTTATTATCTTTATTTATAAGGCTGCCCATGCTCATACAGAGAGCATGAAGATTGAGTACAACAAAGCCCAAAAATCCCCAACCGGAAGACATAGCCAGATCTTCCTAAACAATAACAGAGAAGTCTATGGAGATTGTCAGTCATCCAGGTCATTGGTTGTGTCTCAAAGGTGCTTTTTCAAGAGGCAACTGGACTTTCTGGTTTTTCTCTGAAAACATTTCACTTCTCATAAAGCAGAATAAGTTTCTTGGATGAGAAGCAAAATGTGTTCAAAGAAAAACCAAAAAGTCCTGTTGCCTCTTGAAAAAGCACCTTTGGGACAACCATGACCTGGATGACCGAGAATCTCCATAGACATTTAGCCATGCATTTTGGGATAAACATCCTTCGAATGATGCAGAAGTATAAATGGATTTCCAGAAAAAAAGCAGACTACAGGAACCATTTGAGCTTCAGTTTGAGATGCAGAGAGCACAGACTCTTCCCCAATAGCCTGCACCTATGCTCAACAGTGAAGGGACACAGGGCAGAAAACATCCTGCAGAAAGCACAACTTTAACAGAGCTGAAGGAGCTTCTTGGACGAGAAGCAAAACATCTTCAAAGAAAAACCAGAAAGTCCAGTTGCCTCTTGAAAAAGCACCTTTGGGATAACAGAGAAGAAACAAAGTTAACTGCAGGGCAGTGGTGGGTTGCAGGCAATACCATTCTGGTACGGAACTCCGGAGTCTTCGGCGCTTCCGCGCATGCGCATGGTGCATACAGCACCTGCGCAACGCTCCTCTGAGCAGCTGGAGCATTGCAGAGGCTTGCGGAGGCACTAAGACGAATGCTCGTGCTGCGGTGGGTTCCAGATCCCGTACCGGTTGGAACGGGATCCGGAACCCACAACTGCTCCAGGGCGACAAAATGTGCCACAAAGAGAGCAATATGGCAGAAAAGACCCACCTCC